GGTTCTCTGTACGTTTGCAACCGGATCCGCGAATTTGCGCGCCGCGCCGCGCGCGTTCCCGGCCCTTTCCCCGAGCGATACCGTCGGATTTTTTCCCCGAAACGTGTTCCCCGTGCACGAATTTTCACGCGAGACGATTATTATCTTCCGCCGCGGAAGAAGACCCGCGGCCGGGGAATATTCCAGACGGCAAAGCCGATTTAATGAGCCGGTTTTCTGATCTGCACGCGATAACACCGGCGAATTCCCCGATAAAGTATCAAGCACGCCGAGTATTTCCTTTATTAACTTTTTTCCCCAACATCGGACATCGATAATTCGAGCCCGCGTCCACCGATACATGCGACTGCGTCGATCCATGGGCGTCTTCCGGTGGATTCTCTGGTATCAGTGTTCGTCGATTAACTTCGATTCGTCATCGGTTCTCATTACATCGCTGCCGAGGGAGGATTAGTTTCCTACTGCCTGGTGAATAATTGGGAGGACATTGATGAATTAAAATATCCTGTGTGTTAATTAGCTAAGAATTCTAAATATGAAATTATGATGTAATATTGTAGTATCTAAAAGAATTCTTCTATCGATATAAAGTAAATCGTTTTATATTTGAAAATATTGCGTGCTCCAAGTATTCTACTAGATTAATTAAGGAAACGTTTGTAGAATTTATTCGAGTCTGATTGAAACGAACCGATGGGAATTAATCTTAAAAGCGAAATGAGTTCCGGGGTCTCCTTGCGCGACGCGATCGCCCGGTAGCCGCTCGAAAATTGAACGAACGACCTGAAAGCATGCTAGGTTGCAGTATTTAGGGTTAGGCTATCGTCACGGGGAACCCGGTGGCGCTGGTCGAGGCTAGCTCGGTTATTTGAGTTGGCTAGAGCCACGCGGGGATGACCAACCCTTTGATCTCGACGCAGCCTCCCTCCGTTTTCTGTCCGGCTGCGCCCCTCCTCGCAAACCGTGCCCGACCTTTCTGCCCTCAGCCCCGTAACTCATTGGAAAATCTATCGGGGATGCTGCCTATACGCCGCAAAAATAAATCCAACCACCGTGGAATGGGACGGGGGCGCAGAAGAAGCGGCCCGTCGATGTACATGCTCGCAAAGTGATTTAGATCGACGAATAACGCGGCACGACCACGGTTTTCCACCTGTATTCATTCACCAGCGTAATAATCGCTTGCTTCCTCCGTTCGAATCAAATCGAAGTATTCTCTTTGGCCATCTCTTCGCGTTTCCAACAGCGATTCTCTTCTAACTCGTTCTTAACACTACAACAACCGAGCAAATCGATTTTTTGACAATCCTCTGTAGAAACTTCAAAAGTGCATCTATAGACACTTTGATAATCTAGTTCCTGTATCGCTAAATCAATTTATTTGATAATTCCCTAGAGACACATCTGTCCTTTTAATAATTGCAAAAAGAAGAAATCAGGAATGTCATTTTGACCTGTAAGTTTAGTGTTAAAAATCTTCCCTCCATCGAGATAACACTTAACCAGGTTTATCAAGTTCAAAATACACGTTCCAATAAAAAAGACCACCTAAGTCCGACAAGAATGACTTAATTCCTCTATTGCTATCCCCGGAAACCTCTATTACCAACAGTATTTAACACTAGAACTACGTAACAGTAAAAATGACTGTTTTCGGTTTTCTTGTTTCGCTATTGATATTTTCAAAGCATTGAACATCCAAAATGATTTCGAAACTAAATAGTTCCACTCGAGTACTATAACGAACGTCTGAAGAAACCGAAAATAATCTATCGTCACAATTTTTATAGAGACTGCATACCAATCGTATTAAACTCGTAGTTCTAGTGTTAATAGTGAAAGAAAATCCGACTGAAATACACTCGCTAATTATTCCAAGATGTCTTTCGCGACGAACGGAGCGTTCACAGTTGAAGACCGGATTACCGATAAATCGAAGAGCATGAAACCGGTAGCCGTCGGTGATTAAACGATCGTGGATCTCGATTATTCTGATAACACGAACGAGCACCGATCTCTTCAGACATGTCCCAGTTCGGTCTGACTGCGAGCAATTCATGGGGATACGGAAGCACGGCTGGTTACGCTGGTTATCTTCCCGGCCCTTTGTCGTCGTGCGCGGCACAGGCGTCGTTCCCACCCCCGCCGCCGCCGCCGCCACCGCCGCCGCCGTCCTCGTCGCTGGCGTCTTTCGCGGGCACCGCATCCATGAACACGCCGACGGCGCCCGATTCGACGGCGGGCTCCACCGTTACTTCCGGCACCGGTGCGGGATCCACGGCGCAGCAGGATGCGTTCTCAGCGGTGTCTTCCCGTAAGTCTCATCACTTTCGTCGTTCTCCGCCGCGTAATTGGTTCGTTAGACGCGGCCGCGAGTCGCCTGCGGCCCGCAGGATATCCGTTTCTACGTTCCCTCCGGGTACTCCGATGCTTTAGCGACACTGGGTATATTATTTTTCGCGCTGGACTCGTTTGTTTTTATTACACGCGCGGGATGCTTAACCTTTTAGCTACTGCGGGACTAGCTGTGAAGCCATACCTTTGTGCAGCAAGGTTTCACGCAGTCTGCGTGTAAATGGAATGTCACTTTTTGAGACTTGTAGGATTCTGTGCGATTACGTTAGATTAGACCTAAAGTTTCCAACCTGGAAGGCGACAAAGTTTTAATACGTTGAATGCCGCACGATTTTATAGAGCAGAATACGTAATGGAAGAAATATAATGTTTAATTGTTTGATTGATTGGATTATTATTATGTTCATCTAGCTGAATGTCATCGCGTTGGGTAACATCATTTATGATGTAGTAATGTTTACAAATAATCGTTTCATTCAATGGACTATAGTAAATCGATTTGGTTGGAGGTCACCGGTGACCTCCATGGTATTCAACGTGTTAATAAAAAATGGATGTTCATACCGTAATATCTACAAATGAGTAAACTTCATATAAAGTAGCAGTACGAATTCAGTGAAGTAATGTTTATTTTGTAATGAAGTTATTGTTTAAAGCGTGTCTATGTTATTATATCTATTAAAAGGTAGGGGCGGAAACAAATTTTTGATGAAGGTTGGAAATCGCTGGATTAGACTCTAATTTGCACAACCATCGATGATTGAGGAAGCATCGTACTTTACTGTATCGTTCATGAAAATGATGTACACGAAAGTCAGTATAGTGTCAGTAGTTAAAAGGTTAAACGTTAGTTTTAATTGGTACACGTATGTAACTGAATATTTATTGCACAATGGTAACAGTGTATGGATTTCTATGCATAATTGTTAGAGGGTCTTATAGTGAACGTAGAATAACGGTAAAATTAAGGGAATTTGTTGGCAAACATATATACCTAGCAGTGACATTGTCAAATCTCATGAAAAATGTTAATGAAGAATTGTATAATTTTTAGATGTAGAGTATCTGGGATGATAGCAGAGAGCGTCCCATTGATAACGCTTTTTGTCCCATTCCGATATCTCAACTCCCTCCCGAGATATCAATGCTCGAAGATTACATTGAAAATGCACAGGGGTGGGGACCGAATGGACCTCGAATTCTTGGAAATACTACGGTTTCCGCGAAACGTGTACGCTAGACATAGTAAAAACTGACCAGCGCACGTGTCGCGACGTTGGGGTAGTGCAGTAAATAGGCGCGAGCGAGAGGACCGATTGCGCAAGGAGGACAGAGACAATGGAAATATTAAAAATTACGGTTCCATTTACACGAGGATATCTCTGCAACGGGTAGTCGCAGCGACATGGGACAAAAAGCATTACAAAGGGGAGGCTTCCCCGCTTCCAAGAGTCCCATCAAAATTAATATACCACTCACCGTCCCGGAGTTATTATTGTTTAACCTTTAACCAACTTTAATAGAGAAAAACGTAGTCTCTCAGTCGTTCAAGCGCTATATTCTCCCTATGTTTCTCAATAAATCATTAATAACCGTCATTGTCGTTCTTCTGAATGTAACATAGACACCCAGCCACACTCACGACCTCGTTGACGCGATCGTTCAATAATTATCTTACATCTCGCTCTCGGTTTACCACCGTCTATAACCGAATGCCATGCTTCCTCCACTCTTAGCGGCAAGATACAACGACCGACGGTCGAATAACTCAACCAACCGTCCACCAACACATCCCTCATGTCATCAATCCTCATCACCAATCAGTCTCCACCACCGAAACCCAACTGAAAACCCGCAAAACAAAAAGGCTCTGTTTCTTGCAACCGCAGTGGTGCCGGACTCGACGACGACGGGCCAAACGGACCCGCTGGACCCGCTGAGCAGCCTGATGACAGGGACGCCCAGCCAGAGGTACCAAGACTACGTGTCCCCCCGATCGTTGTCGACGGACTCGAGCACCACGGAGAGCCCGGTGCACGAGGAGCAAGGTTTCGGGCAGAACTACGGGAACTACTTCCCGACGCCCGGCGTGCTGCCCAGCATCCTCTACTCGCAGCTGTACGGGAACCAGTTCCAGAACTCGGAGAGCCCGGAACAAAGATCGGTGGCGGACAGTTGCAGCGTGAGACAGGAGGAAGTCAGACCGGACAACAACGTCTGGAGGCCTTACTGATACCAAGAATTCGGGATTTCGTCGAACGAGCCCCATCTGTAGGGTATCCTCTAGGTCCGAATGACACGAACGTTTCTTACTTCGATCGGCAAAACTGTGATTTCGTGTGGGACGCGCTCGCTCGAACCACCGGGCGGGAAACTAGCTATTAGTGGGCATTACGAGAAAACGATTCCGACTGCGGACAGACAGAGAGAACCGTGCCCGACACGCGCGGACCGTCCGGTGCGCCTGGTTCGACGTCGAGGGCGGCGCGACGAGACCGGTCGATCATTTTCCACTGGTTGTGTCTCAACGAATCTTCTAGACCGGGCTGATTTGTAATTAAGTGTGTGCGTGGGAGAGGAACACGTGGGTGGGAGTGAATGGGAGAGAGAGAACGGCTGCTGACAACGAGTGCAATACGTCGCGCGGTTGGACGCGCGCGCGTACGCCGGTGCCCCGGTGATGGTGACGATGATGATGATGTATATAACACTGTATATAGATAGAGCATTGTCGTTTCATCGAGTCATTCATCACTGTCGACGGACTACGCGAAGTCGAGTGAACTGGTGCGTCCGGTGGCCCTCGGATGGCTGGGATCCTTGGGACTTGCTGCGGTTTTGCTTGATTCGCCGGCGAGCTTTGTGATTTGAAATATGTTTGTCGGTTTATCACGTAACGGTGATCGTAATTCAGCAGATTGTCCGAGGAATTGTATCTGTTTCGGGAAAAGTCAGTCTAAACTTTGTTCTCATCGAAGGATATCTTTCATAAGAACTTGAATTCTTCAGTTGAATTCTTTTCAAGTCGAGATTGTGTCGGTGTATAGCTTGATTGATAAAGTTTCAAATTAGATTTCTTCGTGACAGAGGCGAGCGAAGCAATTCCCAGAGGTCAGTTATCCATCCGCGAAACACCGTACGCACTTTCTACTCTATACGATTATGTTTTCATAGTATAACGCGATCGATTTGACTGCGGGCTCGTGCAATATCGTCCGAGCGCGGTTCGCGTCGCGACTCGTCGCGGGATCGTGCTCGGAAACCGGTCGACGATCGAAAAACAAGGAGAATGGTATCGAATCTCGTGCACGAAGGAGGAAAAAGCTTCTTGCGATTCAACGAAGAGTAAAAGCCGCGGCCGCGACAGCGCGCGCCGCGGGACGCTTTCACATCGAAATTTCCCGTGGATACGAAACCGAAAACCGAAAT